GGTGGGGTAAAAATATTGAATTTAAAAACAAACTTTAAAATTTTCTTTTTTTTTTGGGGGGGGAGGGGGTGGTTGGGGGGTTGGTTTGAGTGTAGGGACAAAATAAATTGATTTTTTCAACAATTTTTTTTTTAATTGGAAGTTGGAAGAGAGTTTTGGAAAATGTTTTCCTTAAATTTTGAAGGGAAGTCATTTTCCTTAAATTTGAGGAAAATGAGTTGATTTGGAAAATATTTTCCAAAACATTTAACCCAACCAAACATGAGAAAATTGGAAAACATTTTCCGGAAAATGTTTTCCTTCATACCAAACACACCCTTAGTGGGAGTTTAAAGAAATCCAAAAGAACTAACTAGCAATCGCCTTCATTAAAATAGAGAAACAAAACACTCCAAACTTTTCAAATACCATCATTTTAAACTTTTAAATATCTTTTTTTAAAATTTGATAAATAATTATGTCAAAATCTATCAAATGCAACTACCATAAACACCCCGTAATATTTATATATTACTAATTTGCATATTTTTTCAAAAAATTGAACTTATTAATGAAAAAAATACTAATAAATTACAAAATACCTAAATTACTATATCAGTTTATCTCCTACATGGGTTAAATTAAATTTGTGTAATTGTAGTTATTTTTTTTTCATATTGAATTGTAGGTCTAAAATTTAGGTAACTGATCAAGATTTGTTTTTTCTTTTTTAAAACTTTATAATTAAAATTATTTTAACTTTAATTTGTAAATTGAATTTTAACAACGACATTTGGTAGTTTTAGAACAAGGCCAATACAAAAGAAAAAAAAACAACAATTAACTATTTGATTAGAAAATAAATTAAAAAATGTCATGATACAAAATAAATTTAAAATAAAACATGTAACTGAAAACAAGAAGAAGAAAAAGTAAACATTAATAAAGAAATAGCTTAACATCTGTAGGTAAAATTTTAAAAAAAAACGACAATTATCTAAATCATCTCCTAAAATCTCTCACCCACTTACTTAACTATCTTAATCTCTTAAAATTCAACTATAAGCCAAAAGTACTACGTATCAATTCAAAGTTTTAAGTTTATATAACGATGACTTTAAATATTTCAAATCTCTAATTTGTAAAAGAAAAAAAAACCATATTATCAACAGAAAGGATAAATTTAAAATACTATAAATTCATATTTTGCAAATAAAGCCACATGTCTCATCAAAATAATTAACAATTTTTTCTGTTTGAATTTTTTTATAAAAAAAAACTACCTCCAGAAAAACATAATTTTAATTTGATAAATAATCATATTAAAATTTGTCAAATAAAACTGCGGCCAAAACACAAAATTGATAGTTATAATTATTTTAATAATTTGGAGAATTTCTCAAAAAATAATTTTATCAATTAAAAAAACACTAACAAATGTTCTTATTTAAAAAATAAATTACCGATAAATAATTTTCAAATTATAATATATTGAACAAAAAATAACGTTAGGTTATATTTACTAAAGAATAAAATATACCACATATTTAAAAAGGCTAACAAATCAAAGCAAAAGAAAATCTGCCGTTTGCCTAAACAAAAGATTGTTAGCAAATAATCTATCTATATATAATAGGAGAAGAAAAAGTGCCACGTGTCAGCACCACAAAATTTGTAGATATATTAAATAATAAATAACAATTTAAATAACAAAACATTTTTTTTTTAAAAAAAACAGAAATTAAAAACGGTTTTAAAAATTTGTTTACGTTAAAAAGCTGTTGTATTGATCTCTTTTTTTTGTTTAAATAAATTGAATTTTTTTGTTCCTAATAAAATGCTAACCGCCTATTTTTTTTTAATAAATTTTAAAAATCTATCTTCTATCTATATATAAAAGGATAAGAAAAAATGACACATATCAACACTACAAATTTTCAGTATTTTAAATAATTAAAATTAAAATTATTTTTAAAATCTACATATAAAGCAGTTTATGTTTATCAGGTTTCTTTTAACAGACAATTAACTTTTTACAATTTTTAAAACAATCGGATAATGATGTAAACTTACCAGTAGTTACTTTTACCGTTTTAAACTTTAATAGATAATGAATCACATATTTAGGAATTAATTTTCATTTGAGAAGTCAATATACGCTTCAAATATTCACTCCTTTCGGTACATGCATTGTATTGTTAATATGCATATCTTTTTTCCTGTTTCTTTTTTGGAAATTTGCTGCATACTGTTTGGAATTTTAATCCAAGACATCTACTCAACAAGTTATACCACTTTATTAATATGTAATAATGTGTTTAAGTCTTTTAAATTATATAGATTGTTTCTCTAAAAATAGTTATTTATTGTATATTTATAATTCAAATGGGTGAGTATCAATATTTTTTCAAATATATACGTTTTTCGATAAAATATGCCTACTCGGGATGAACTTAATTATCAATAATAGGCAATGGAGGTTGAAAGTTGGAATTGTACAAAGATGAAACTTATCAGATCACAAATATTCACACATCTTATTCTTCATTGGCAAATTCTCCAAGATAAGAAGGTAACAAACTATTTTTTAGTTATTCTCTCATCTATTGCTCTTAGATTTCTCCATTGTATTATATTTTGATAGATTTTCGATCTAACTTTTTTTTTTGTAAAATTTATTTAGTCTACGCTACTCTTTGTTGTGTGTATTATTTTGTGGAGTTTCAACAATTACAACACAAGGATCATAAATTTATTTCACAAAATTTAACACAATTATTCCACGGAAAAAATTATACTCATTATTTTAGTTATATTCTTAATCCTTAATATAGTTTAAGGACATATAAGATTTTAAAGTTCTATCATTTCATATATCCGTACATATTATTTTTCATCAAAGTATTACTCAAATAGTAAATAAATAGCTTTTGTTATTTAAAAAAATAATCGGTTTAAAATTGTATATGTTTGTCATTGAATTTTTTGTTGGGTTTTACAAGGTGTGAATGGAAAATGAAGAGTTGCGACTTTTATGAAGAGTTGTGACTTTGATGAAAAGTTGCGACTATTATGAAAAGTTGTGACTTTTATCAAAAGTTGCGACTTTTATGAAAAGTTGTGACTTTTATGAAAGGTGGTGACCTTTCCGAAAGATTGTGACTTTTCAAAGGTTTGTGACCTTTCCGGTAAGGCACAATAAGAACATTTTCACACTACCCTCTGTTTTCTATAAATTGAGGAATTTCCTCTCATTTTAATGGAACCAATTTTTCTGGACTTCTTCTTCTACTACTAAATCTAGTATTCTAAGTGTACTTTACTGCCGTTGAGTGATTCGCTGACACCAGCGTTTTGGGTATCAATACACTGGTGATTGAGATCATTCTATCCTGGGAGGACATATTCCAAATCAAACCTCGGATACTAGAGGGGAATAATTTCCTTAAGGGGACACTGTGCATTCAGTGGGCTTGATCTTCTTTCTGTTTTTCCAAATTCTG